CAAGCTTGAGATGGAAACAGAAATGTAATTCAACTACGTAGAGAGTTACATGACAAACAGTGATCAATCGATTTCCAAAAGAAAAAAACGGTCATTGTTTTCGATTACATTTTTGTCTTGAGTCTTTCTTATAACTCTGTCATATATTTGTTATATAGATGACTTTAATTTACTTTTTAAATCATTTTAAAATGTTACTCACTGCAGTCAAATAATTTCAATCGAAAAGTCGTGTAAACTTCGGTGGATCATTGTGGTCAATTTCAGGTTATACTGTTAGCGATAGCGTATGTATTCTTTTGTTTTGTTTGAATATCTTTCAACAAGAAGCTTTGTTGTAAACGACTCCATTTATCAAAAATAAATCATTCATGGTGAGAAGCATACAATGGTGTGAGTTTGAGTCGGTCAACAAAGAGAACAGCATTACCAGCTGCATCCACATCCTCGAGGAGATATATTGTCACAGTCATTTCTCCACAGATTGGTCTTTTGTTCTGTTCAATGTCCCAATGCATCCTCGAGATCTTTGTGAAAATACTTGGTTATTTAAAAGAAAAAAAGCTAATCTTAACTATCTCATATGAACAATAATACGCACTACTGGAGATTCGAAAACTGACATTAGTTGATGGATCATCTGACACCGAAAAGTGTCACATAATATATACAGTAATACAAGGAGAATCTTTATTTACAGCTGAAAATTCGAAACATTTCACTTAACGATGAAGATAATTTGCTGTCTATATTTCACACTAGTATAACTTAGTTAAAGAGAAGACTACGAAATAACAATGTTCATTAGGCATTGGAAAAGTATTAGCGCTCCTGAACAGGCGAATTAATACGCTACACTACACTGATTATTCTTCTAAATGCTTATGTTCACTATCAACCACTGTAGATGATATGAAATAAATGAAGTTTGATCAGTTTAAAGTTACGACGAGGTAGAGATATATCGATAGATAACTTTGTTGACATTCTGCATTCAGCCTATCTCTTCTCATTTGCTACACGAAAATTTCAGTTTGCTTGTCTTCGTTACGATAAGAAAAAAGAGAAGTATATATTTGTCTCAACTCATTTCTTACTTTGCTGTATTTCTCATGTCGACAGAGCCAGTCTTCGGAAGCACTATAGATTCGGGTATTGAAGCATATCTACAAAAAGCGAAAGCTAAAAAGGTCTGTTTCTATGCATTTTTCTATTTTATGACTACGAGACTACCTCTTGTTTAGTATGTTTGGTTTGTATTGGGTTTCTTGTTAGGCTTTCTCGTCGTACTCATACCATGCCTCATCATCAGTAAAAGCAGTGCGAAAGATTGCTCTCATCCTACTACGGTTAATCCAGCCAGCACAGCTAAATCAACCAGCACGTCGAGCCCCTCACCTGGACCTCCAGGATGGAATGCCAGCGATTATTTATCAAACAGTGACTATTATCTTCACATGACAATTGATCATCCTTTCAGTCAAGAAGATAATCTTCGTTTGGACCGCCTTTCATCACCACGTTTTTCTCCAGATGGTAGCAGTAATGCTATGTATTTGCGACGACAATATCATATGCCCAATTGCAACGGATCATCAACAACATTACATTGGGTCGATTTGAGTAATCCTCTGAACGACATAGTTGTGCAACTGATGCGATCAATTTGGGGAGTCCATGATCAGCAAGTAAACGAAAAGAAAACTAACGGGTAGTTCAGATTCAATTGTCGATCTTAGTGAACTATATTTTGATCAATCATTGAATCTTATTTTAATACAAACTACAGCATTGGATAAAGCAAACAAAGTTCTACATTTTCAAAGGGTGTGGGTGTGGGTGTAGACCATGTCTTTACTCGCAGCCATACCCCACAGCCACAGTCACACCCACCCACATCTTTTAGATCTTTTAATAGCCAGTCTCAGTTTAGAAACCCTTCTCTGTGACGGTTTCTGGTTAGTATCTCCCAATAATGAACAATTACGTAAAGCGATCTCTTTTTTTTGTGATTTCCGATGATGCTCATATTAGAGAGGTTTTACTATATATTACAATGAACATTGAGTTAGAAATGTGCACGATACCTTAATAATTAATAAGCTATTATAGGCGCAGCAGCTTTCCTTAAACGATTATCTTGCATAATAAATGTCATTACTTTTATCAATTTCAGTCAAATAATGATTATGTATATTTTCTATCTCAACGAAGATCGTTCATCAAAAGGTTTACAAGACAAGCAATTATCATAATATTACGTCCTTGATGCTGTTTTCTCAATTAAGAAGAAAACTTTTAAGTGATTACAATGAAAACAATGCTAGTGCGCATCCATCAGTACGCCTCATATCAACCATTAAAACCTAAAAGTTTACAGCAATGATTGGAAATAATTTTCTAATGCATAGATTCAAAAGAACAATATAAAGTAAGAAAGCTTTAAAAAATGTCTTCATTAGAGAAATAGTTCGTAAAAATCGTTTTAAACTGTTGTTTTGTCTGAGTTTACTCTAGTTTGTGTTTCTTAAGTTAATGATAAAAAATAATTGGAATTATTTTTATAAAAATAGTATATACTGTACCAAGCAGTTTATCAATGTAGTCTAGCATAGAGACATTGTTTTTTCTATAATTATTGGAAAGAGTCCGTTCTCAGTTTCAAATTTCATACTGAACAAATATTGTTTGTATTCAGGAAGAAAAATTTAACAATGGTACTTCTCATTAAAGGTTCTAGACATGAAGATTTTTTAATTGCGTATTATTAAGAAAGAAAGACAAAACACTCAGTGTTTGGTTCTTCTTAAGACAAGATCTTTCACAAATATATTTATTATATGATCAAAATGCGACAAAAATTGCTACTTCATCTTATTATATAACGAAATATACAGGCTTTCGGAAATATTCCTCCAGAGAAATATAAATTTTTTTCTTCCCGATAGAGAGACATTTTCAGTAATACAAATATGCATAAAATAATAAAAGTTTTGCTTCGCAATAATTGACCTGGACGACATGCTCAATGCTAAATTAAAGATCGACAGTTAATATCTGTTATTGAAATAAAACTCAGGTTTCCAACCTGAGAAACGATTCTAGAACAAATGTAAAATTACTTAAAACGTTCTATATCACTTTATTTAAAACTTAAATATCATAGAACAAGTTCTCATACAAAAAAAAAGTAACAATTACCGAGTTTTAAACTTTAGTTGTTTTTGTGCAACAGTTTTAACTGGACTTCGATTAATGCTACGATAAGACAGTAAATGAATTGAAGTGTTACTAAGCTTGAAACAACAGCCACCGAACTTTCCAAGCAGACCATAATTTGATAATTATCAATATATTGACCAATCAGGATACACATCGCACTAATAATTGTTGCTATATTAATCAACTAGGGACTACCATAAATAATAAAAATCGATATTGTATTAAATGATCCAAAAATATTTAAATGTATACGAAACTTTGTAAGTTTCACCCGTTGTTCAACAAACTTCTTATGAGCTGCGAGAATTTCATTGAGCTTGTCATGAGTTGGGGTGTAGGTGTGGGTGTGGGCTAGCAGAACTCCTACACCCACACGCAGACTAAGGCCGACACCCACACC